GGAGGGGAAACGAGAGGGAGGGAAGGGGGAGGGAGGGAGGGGAAACGAGAGGGAGGGAAGGGGTGAGAGAGGGAGGGAGGGGAAACGAAAGGAAGGGAAGGGGGGAGGGAGGGAGGGGATACGAGAGGGAGGGAAGGGGGAGGGAGGGGAAACGAGAGGGAGGGAAGGGGGGAGGGAGGGAGGGGAAACGAGTGAAAGGGAAGGCGAGAGAGAGGGAGGGAGGAGAAGCGAGAGGGAGGGAAGGGGAAAAGAAAGGTGAAGGGAGGGGAAGGGGAAGGGAATGTAGAGGGAGAGGGAGAGAATAAATAGGGGGAGGAAGGGAGGGGAAGATAAAGAGGAACTGAGGGAAAGAAATAGAAAGGGAGGGAGAGCAAATGCAACAGGAAGGCAGGGAGGAAAAGACAAGAGGAAGGGAGGGGAAAGGAAGAGGAAGGAGGGGAAAAGGAAGAGGAAGGGAGGGGAAAAGGAAGAGGGAGGGTGAAAGGGAAGAGGAAGAGGGAGAGACAAGATTCCGAGATAAAGACGGAATCGGTGGTTGGCAACAGTCTTCCTTTCACGTCCTGATGGGAAGTGTTTAATGCGGCCGTTGGGAATTATAATTCAAACCTTCAGTTATTAATGCTTAGCGTCTTTTCCCATTGCAAAACGTTCACTACTGGATTAGGGTTATGTGTATGCATGTGTGTGTGTGTGTGTGTGTGTGTGTGTGTAGATAACCACACACACACACACACATATAGATAGATATAGATATAGATACATATACATATATATATGCATATATATATATATATATATATATATATATATATATATATATATATATATATATATATATATATACATATATATATGCATGTATATACACATATGTATATACACACACATGTATATGTATTTATAAATACATATATATAATATCTATATATGTGTGTATGTATATATACATATGTATATACATACATGTTCTTAATAAAACAGGCATCTAGTTGTTTTATAAAAGAGACCAATCGTCTCTCTAGAGAATAGTGTACATGTTGTGATTCCCAAAGCATTACTGACGCCGCCTCTCCCCCCAGACCTGCGGCAGCGCCTGGGCCGCGAGTGGCGCGTGCCGCCCTACCTCAGCGAGCGGCAGCGCAAGCGGCGCGCCTTCGCCGACCGCGACCTGGAGACCGTCCTTCTGCAGCGCGAGACCATCCTGGCGCAGTCGGCTCAGCTCGCCGCCCACCCCGCCCACATCCCCCCCGAGTGGGCTGCCCACGTGTCCCTCCTGCCGATGCACCTACAGGAGGCGCTGCGGCTCCACCCGCAGCCCGCGCACGCGCTCCTGCAGCTGGTCGCGGAGGCGTGCGGCGGCGATCGGGATCGCGCGCTGCAGTACCTGTCGACGCCGCCGCCGGCCCTGGCGCCGCCCGTGCTCGCCCGCCCGGCCCACGAGGATGGCGTCGCGGGCGTGAACGGGGGCGTGGTCGTGGCGCAGGAGCTGCCCTCCAGGTTCCTGCAGCTGTCCCTGGCCGCCGCCGCGTCGGCCGCGCCCGCGCTCTCGCTGGCCGCCGCGCCGCCGTCCGCCGCCGCCTCGCTGCTCTCGTCCTCCGCCTCCTCCGCCTTCACAGTGGTCGCCCGCGACGCCAGCGGCCGCGACTCGCCCGCGTCGTCGTGCTCGTCGCCGCCGCCGCCCACGCCCAGCCCGCACGCCCACAGCGGCATGGACAGCCCGCACCCCGAGCCGCCCATCACGCCCGAGATGTCCGTCTCGTCCGAGAAGTCTCGGTCCCCGCCCGTCATGCCCTGCCTGTCCGGCTCCCCGCCCACCATGACGTGTCCGCTGCCCGGCTCGCCGCCCACGTCGCCGCCCTCGCTCACCTACCAGTCGAGCGCCCTCCTCCTGCCGCAGGACCTTCCCGACGCCGCCCGCCGCTCGCCGCCGTCCTTCCAGAAGGCGCTGTCGGCCTCTACGCCCTCACTGGCGGCGCCCCCGCCCACGGCCCTGCCCACGATACCCAGGTTCCCGCCCACCGACCGCCCGCACGCCCACACCACGTGCCCCACGCCCAGGAAGGCCGTCATCTCCTTCTCCGTCGAATCCATCATAGGAAAACAGAGCTAGAGTGTGACGTGGCGCTTCGGTGACGTCGGCTGTGACGTCACGCGCCGGAAGAATGGCTGAAATTCACGCTGAGAAGAAGCTTGTTGTTCACGAGGCGCCGGACGCTGTTTCCGCGAGTGGCGGGGATCTTCCTGTCACGCGCAGTTATTATTTTCTTCTCTGTCTGGAGAGAGGAAACTGTACATGAACAGACACGCACACTTACACTTACACATTCATATTCACATTCACATACGCATACACATACGCATACTCATACGCACACGCACACGCCGCGGACAAGTGCAATATCCATCAGTGTTTTCCTGTGATTAATTCCACCTCAGTAATTGCTTTCTTAACCCTTGCCTTTCCCCTCCCTTAAGTCCTTCTCCCTTACCCACTTCCCCTCACCTTATCACCTCCCGTTACTCTTCGCCCTTTTCGTCCCCTCTCCCTCACCCCCCCCCCTTGTTTCACCCTTCCCTCTCTCTCCCATGTACATATCTCTTCACCCTCGCCCTCACCTCCCTCTCACCCTTCACCCCCTTCCCCCCTTCCCCTTGCCCACTTCTCCTCCCCTTCCCCCTCCCCATTTCCCATCCCCCCTCACCTATTCCCCATACCCCCATCCCCTTCTCCTCCCCTTCCCCCTCCCCATTTCCCATCCCCCCTCACCTATTCCCCATACCCCCATCCCTTTCCCCCCTCTCCCCTTCCCCCTCCCCATTTCCCATCCCCCCTCACCTATTCCCCATACCCCCATCCCCTTCTCCTCCCCTTCCCCCTCCCCATTTCCCATCCCTCTTCACCCTTCCCCATACCCCCATCCCCTTCTCCTCCCCTTCCCCCTCCCCATTTCCCATCCCCCCTCACCTATTCCCCATACCCCCATCCCCTTCTCCTCCCCTTCCCCTCCCCATTTCCCATCCCCCCTCACCTATTCCCCATACCCCCATCCCTTTCCCCCCTCTCCCCTTCCCCCTCCCCATTTCCCATCCCCCCTCACCTATTCCCCATACCCCCATCCCCTTCTCCTCCCCTTCCCCCTCCCCATTTCCATCCCCCCTCACCCATTCCCCATTTCCCCATCCCCCCTCACCTATCCCCCTACCCCCTTCCCTTTCCCCTCACCCCTCACCCCCTCCCCCATCCCTTTCCCCCCTCTCCCCCCTCCCCCCCCCCCCCCCTCCCAACACAACGGAAACAGCACCTCCGATGTGAAAGAAGCAACAGCTGTGTGATTTACCAATTAGAATGTCTTACACTCAGCCATTCAAGGATTAATCACACCAAAGGGATCCTTTTTAATAGACGTTTCCGCTTAGCTGCGTTTTCTAAGACGAGTCGAAGCTCTTGAGTTTTTTTTTTTTTTTTTTTTTTTTTTTTTTTTTTTTTTTTTTTTTTTTGAGGGGGGGGGGGGTAGGTGGATATTTTTTGTTTGTGTTGTGTTGTGTGTGTGTGTGGGTGTTTGTGTGTGTGTGTGTGTGTGTGTTTATACGTTTGTGTGTGCGTATGTGTGGGGGTGTGTGTGTGATGTATATATATATTTGTGCGTCTGGAATGCGTTTGTTAGGATATAAAGATATATGTACATATATATATTTCAGTATCATCGACCAGCAATACTTCAAGATTTTTTTTTTCATGACTCTCTCTCTCTCTCTCTCTCTCTCTCTCCCGATCCGGCTAAGAAATACGAGATGTTTAAACAGTTGTAAAAACGGGACGAAGAGAATTTTTGTTCCCGTTCAGAGAGAGACAACCCCCTCCCCCCCCTCCCCAACCCACTCCCTCCCACCCCCCGATCTTCGCACGAGGAGAGAGAGAAAAAAAGATAAACGATAAAAAATAAAAGAGAGTCTAGTAAAAAAAAAAGAGAAAAGAAAGAAAAGGGTGAAAAAGTCCAATAAAAAGGAAAATGAAGGGATTTAAAAAAAAGATAGTCAAATAATCTTTCCGTTAAGAAAGATTTGAATTTGAATTTGGAATTCGTTGGTGCATCGACCAATGACTGACCAGATTCGCGAAACTTTGCTACTTCTAAGCCGTGCCAAAGAATTAGATTAAGTTAAAAAATAATAATAATTAAACAAGAAAAAAAACATTAAAAAAAAAATATGAAGTTAGCTAAATAGCCTCTAAGACTATGAAAAAAATATTTATCTTTGAATGGATAGTTATTGTTATTTGATATGAAGCTAGATTAATTAGATACGTGTGTGACTGTATCCCTAAATAATTTCTAAAAATAAAAAACTTAAAAAAAAATATTAGTGAATTATGTAAGCCTCATTGGAGCCTGGAGCTTTAAATAGAGGGTTTATTCATGAGGGAAAATGAGTTGACGTATTTTATGTAGGATGTTGCTATGTTGCTATGTTGCCCCCAGTGCCTTATACGAAATAAAATTATAAAAAAGAAGATATGATTTCTTTTTAAAATGTGTTTTATCTCAAGTTTGATATCAACCCTTGTACTTAAGGTCTACTTTTGTATCGAATGTTTTATATATGTTTAATTTCTTCTGTTTGATATCAATCGTGTTTAATTTATGCTCCTGTTTCATTGTTTTTTTATCTCCAATTTTTTTTTTTTTTTATCCATTCTTCTGTGTTTCTCTTGGTGTTTGTTATCTCATTTTTCTCTTTATTTCTTTTCTTTTGTATATTTTACACTTTTAAGATGTACAGATAGGGGCGATCGTGACCATAGATTTGAATATGTACGAAATTGACGATAATTAATGTGATTGTGACGATATGACGAGTATTAAGGGATCATAGATCTTGTAATACGAATGCAATAAAGAGGAAAAAATTGAAATTGTGTTTTTCTTTTTGTTTCGTTTTGTTTCGTTTTCTTTTTTTTTTCTTTTCTTTGCTTTTCTTTTTCTTTTTTTCTGGGCTGTTTGTTACGAATGAAAAAAAAGCTGTTTGATTACTTTATCAATATTACTTAGCTGTATGTAATTATTGCAAGACAGTTTTTGATGCACTGGCGGCTTATTAAAGGTCGTGAAATTGAATTAAACACGACCACAATGAGAGGAATCTTGTGGAAAATATAACATACAATTGCTAGATTTTGCATGTAAAATATATCAAGAGAGACGTAATGAATGAAAAATTTTAAAAATGACGTAATGAATTAAAAAAAATAAAATGCACAAAAACACAGAATATGATTAAAAATTCATTTTCAATAGACCGATTTTTCTTTATTTCTAATTATCTCTTCATTTGTTTTATTCATTTACTTGTTTATCCTCATTTTTTTTCGGGCATCTAGCAAATTTTCTTTCATATAGAGAAATTCATATGTAGAAATAAATGAAGCAACAAGATAATAGACAAATATCGGTGAATGAAGTATAAACATTTGGTAATAAAACATCATTTTGATATGATTTAATTTGTGATTTGCAATTGAAATGAAGAAAAAAAATCTAGTAAAAATCATGTCCTGAATTAACCGAGAAGATCTGCATTTTTAAATCCTAATACAAAAGACGCAGAAAAAAATAAACAATACTCCTGGCCGTTCCCGATGAATGATTTCGTCAGACCTGTTATGAGCAGCCACGGCCAAGACCTCTCGTGAAGCATATTTCGATTCCGTCTCGAACGTTCGAATAATATGACCCACTTTGTTTTGGTTCGGAGCGTTTCGATGCTTCATTCACGCCACAACAGTTGTAGGGGTCGGTACTATACAAGCTACTGTTTGGACAATTAGACAGTGGCGAGAAAAAAAAGAAGATAAAGAAAATGAAGAAGAAACAAAAGATGATGATAATGATGAAGATTAAAATAAAGAAAGAATAATGGTTGTAAGAGACAACGGTAGACGAGGAACGAAAACTGTATACTGGTGGACTCGCAGTTGACAAAAACGTCAAGTGAAACATTTTTTTTTCGGAAATCATGATTTTCTGGAGATTTTTTTGTTATCCAGGCAAAGAAAACAGCACCTGAAAATACATATTACTTGCGGAACTAGACAAGAACGTATAAGATGAAATTGAAGTTTAAGGAAAACTGCATTTGGCTTGACGCTAATAACCTACACTTGAACATGATTCTCTCTCTCTCTCTCTCTCTCTCTCTCTCTCTCTCTCTCTCTCTCTCTCTCTCTCTCTCTCTCTCTCTCTCTCTCTCTCTCTCTCTCTCTCTCCCTCTCTCTCTCTCTCTCTCTCTCTCTCCCTGTCCATCTCGCTCTCTCTCTCTCTTTCTCCCTGTCTCTCTCTCTCCCTCTCTCTCTCTCTCTCTCTCTCTCTCTCTCTCTCTCTCTCTCTCTCTCTCTCTCTCTCTCTCTCTCTCTCTCTCTCTCTCTCTCTCTTTCTCTCTTTCTCTCTTTATCTCTCTCTCTCTCTCTCTCTCTCTCTCCGATTCACAGTCTGCATAAATATCATACTAGATACGCCAGAGAATTCAAATACGTTGTTTCATCCATTTATACGATGAAGGTCACCAACCGAAGTGAAAAGCCGCTAAATGAATTCATAAATCGGCGAATTCTCATGAAAGAGAAAAGATAGAGAATCTGTTAATGAGAAAATTGCCTAATTTGAACTTGAGTGCTGGTCAGTGGGGCTCGGGTGACCTTACTTCCGTCGTCTTCAGGAAGTAAAGCCGCCCCTGACCTTTTTGACCTTGACCCTTCTCCTTGGCAATCTTGTCTGTGATGTATTTATGTATAGTTATATACATACATACATGTACATGAGCATATACATATATATGAATACACACACACGCTTATATATACACATGATATTTATGTATATATATTCTGAATATATATATATTCATGTTATATATATGTACATATATATATATATATATATATATATATATATATATATATATATATATATATATATATATATATATATATATATATATATATATATATATATATATATATATATATATATATATGAGTGTGTGTGTGTGTGTGTGTGTGTGAGTGTGTGTGTATTTGTATAACTATATATATGCAAACACTCACACACATGTGTATATATTAATACATATATATATATATACACATATACATCTATGTATATATATGTATTTGTGCATGTGTATATATTTACACGCACACACACACATGTGTATATATATATATATATATATATATATATATATATATATATATATATATATATATATATATGTATTTATGCATGTACACACACGCACATATATGTATGTATGTATGTATATATGTATATGTATATGTATATATATATATATATATATATATATATATATATATATATATATATATATATATATATGTATATATATATACAGAGAGAGAGAGAGAAAGAGAGATTTATATCTATATCTATATCTATCTATCTATCTATCTATCTATATATATATATCTGTGTATGTGTATGA